CGGCAATGCAAGTTTTGAATAAATTATGTTGGTAAACATAATGAGCTTGCTTTACTCTGGGTACCAGGTCACCTGGGAGTACCTGGTAATGCGACATCTGACCATTTGGCCACAGTTGGATTAGACCAGGCATTCCTCGATATGGAACCAGTTATAGCACTCCCTACTTCGACCATCGAAGGCACCATCAGAAACTTGGTGAATGCTTCGCTCAGCAATGACTGGGGGCATCGAGGGAATGTGGGTGGGCAAAACTCATGCTGACTTCAATATCAGAAGTTCTATCTAGCTTTTTGCTCTCATTGAGCAGATGGGACTGCATAAAACTTCTAGAACTACTGACTGGTCACTTCAGGTGGCACAAACACCTAATGGTTTGATTATGCATACTTCGCATAACTTCGCACAACTTCGCAGAATCTTCAAACTGTAATTTCCTATGTACTTTGTATGTATTTTGTATGCATTCCATTACCCAGAAATTAGCAGCACTTTGAAAAACTTAGCGATCTGTTGAGTTTACATTTTCTTAAGTTACATTTCTATTGTACTGGTACAAATGGTTGTGCGAAGTTATGCGAAGTATGCATAATCAGACCTTAACTGTGATAAACTTACATGCCTTGAAGAGGATGAGACGGTGAAACACTTTTTGTGCTTCTTGCTTGGTTGTTTGTCATCGATTTTTCTAGATTCGGTCTTTTCTCTATTTTAATTTTCTGAATTTAAAGTTTGGCGTAAAAAGCTTTGCAGTTTTGTTGTTCCAAGTTTTGTGTTTTAAAAATGTGTGATAAATGTTTTTTACATCCCTTTTAAAACTCGGAGCGATAAAAATAAAAACTCTTTTACAAATACGCCACATGCAAATTCATGAGTGATCCGAGCATATGAGGAGTTTATGGTGAAGAGGATGTAAATAACAGTAGCGCTCGGAGTGCTCTTAAAGATATAACTCTTCAGAGCGAGAGAGTACTTGGATAACTTTACGAGCTCTGTTTTTTAAACCTTGCAAGAGTGTAATCACGTTATTTTAATAGATAGAACACAAGAAAATATTTTATCTTTATTTTTGCCACTCCGAATTTAGTTTTGGAACTCACCCGCGATGCAAATTCACATCGTTAGATCTAATCTTCACATTTTTTGACGATCTTTGGGAATATGTTAGAAATGTAGCAGCAGGGGGTCCACCGAAACCAGTAAAGTTTTGAAAGGGGTCTACGAGAAAAAAAAGGTTTGGGAACCTCTGCTCTACAGTCTTTAACATTATACCTACCGACGAATTTGATATCTAGACTAGGTTGTATAGAAACTTTGCCATAATACCTTTGCTATAAATGATGTCTGGACATGCAACATTATAAGTTGATAATAGTGTTGTAAAATATGTTTCTTTATTTGATTTAATTTTTAGGATCATATTTTATTTTTTAAGCTTTTTTCAATTTGGGTTTCTTTCAATTTTAAGATTTTGTTAAAAAAAAATACTTTTTTTATTTTATTTAATATCTAGGAACTACTTCTTTTTTGATTAAATTTTTCTCCTTTTCTGATACATTTTTTTTAATTTTTATTGTTTTAAAAGGAAAAAATATATGTATATTTTTTTAAATTAAATTTAATTTTTAAAAATATTTTATATATATTATTTATTTTCGCTTTATTTTCATTTTACATATTTTTATTTTTTTTTTAATTTTATCGGTTTAAAACAAAAAATATAGATATGTATTTTTTATTTAATTTAATTTGTAATAAACTTTTTGCCAAAAGGTAATCAGCATATACCTCCTCCTTAGCAGTTCTTTCAATTAGACTTTCGAAAGGCAGTAAAGAGCTTTCAAGAGCTTTCGAAAGACTGTGGTGAATTGACAGTTGCCAGAATCGCCGTGTCTTATTTACGGAAATTTAAAAACATGGAAATCATTGAAACTCTTTAAGCAATAAACAGACATTGGTAATTATTTTATTTTTTACATAAAATACTGTGTGACACGCGGGAAATATTTAGCCGTACTTACCATGGTGCAATCATAAATTCACTTAAAAACGCCAAACAATAGCTTTTATTAAGTTAATTCTTATGTCATTAGATCAATAACTTCTTGCGCTTCTTAAGTGCAATGCACTTGACAAGCAAAACAACAAACAAATTCGTAGGGACAATATTATAATAGCAAGATACGTTTATACTGATAAAATTTTTGAGGCAAAAATAGAATAAAACAATAAAAGTTAATAGCCCAATTCTGTATCGGTGACAAAATTTTTTTTTACCGACAAATTTAAGCGTTTTCATATATTTTTCCGTAAAAATCACTGTGACAAGAATTTTTCACAGATACAGAATAGAGCCGTAAGGTAGTCATTCACAAACCGTTACGATTTTTTTCATTGTTTAATGGTTTAAAATGTTTTTTAATGTTGATTACACAGATTTGCAAAAAAAAAAAGTTTGTGCTTAGTTCGTGGTCAGTTGAAGGTCAATTAGAGGAAAATTCATTAATAAACCTGAAAATTCATATATATGGGGTTTTAGACTCGCTGAACCCGAGTTCGAGGCCCGTTAACCTCCATAATGTCAGCTTCGAGGTCATTTGAGGGTCAAATAGGACAAAGAATTTATTAAATAAAAATAAGAACTTTTGTTTTTGTTGTCGCTGAATCCGAATATGGGGCCCTTGATTCCTCAAGGTCATCTAGAGGTCATGCCAAGGCCATCCCAAGGTCAAATTCAGATCTAATGTATTGAATATTCGGGTTTATTCAACGAATTTTTCCCTATTTGGTTTCATATGACAACGAACCTGACGTGATTGAGGCTAACTGGCTAACTGACGGATTCGAATTCAGCGTGTCGAATAACATAGGGATATGTAGGTTTGGTTTAATATGCATAAACTTTTTTTTGTAAACCTGTGATCGAATAACCTGAGCGGGAACAAATATTTTTATAGTATAGAGTAGGTATAATATATCAAAGAAATACCGTTCGCAAAGTAAAACAAAACGGCTTAGAATAATAAAAAAACAGTTTTGTTAGTGGATCGTTTTTGGATAAAATAATTTAAAAACGGGGGACAAGAAATAGCACTTTGTATGGTAATGACCCATAAAGAAATTCTCGTAAGGTAATCTGAGCTTATAATTTTGTATTTTAATAAAAGTTAATGTGCCAAACCAGTCTGCCATGATATTTTTGCATTCAAACACAAAACCACATTTGCCCATTACTGTCCTAAAACGCGCGAAAATAAATTTGCAAGCTATTACTATCTTGTCTGTTATGGCAGGGTGCTAGTTGCATCAAAATGTATTTCACTCTTTTTCCTCTCCCGCCTAAAAAAACAGGTGTCATACAGCATGCGGTGACCATCCATCCTTTATTTTAAATGTCAGTCCTTTATTATAACCCCCTGTTCTTTATAATTTTTTTCAAAATAAAGGATGCCTTTTGTCCTTTATTTCTTGAACTGTCCTTTAAATCAGCTCTGTATTTTTCAGAGGTAAATTTTTAGACACAGAATATGAAAAATAAAAATGTCCCTTATAAAATATAATGAAAACCTTCGTCAGTTTATTTCGCACCCCACCTAAGGGCTTTTATTTATTCGGTAATCTTTGTACAATCTATTAAGCACAGGGAAAGTTGTGCTCAGGAACGTGTTGCACGCTGAGTTTCCAGTTCCACTGAAAGGGAACAATAAACCCCCTGTTGCACAGTGGCTCAAAACTGGCATTTCGTGTTCGTAATTCACTGGAGCCTTAATTTTTTGTCACTTAATTTTTGTAATTTTTTTTTATGAAAGCTTATAATATTTGCAAGAGACCAGTTGAGCCTGATTTGTGAATTTTTATTTGGTTATATTAAATTTTTTAGTGAAAAATGCAGAAAAAGTGGCAATTTTGAAGAAAATATATTCTCCTGTTCCAGTTAATAAATATTGCATAACAAAGACTAGTTGAAAATAATTGTATGGTCTCCCAAAACGAAAAAATTAAAAAAAAAAAGTTCACCAAAATAATTTTTTTTTGTTTTTTAGTAAAAATTGGTTTAAAATGAAGACTCCGGTGAATTACGAACATTAAATTCCAATTTTGAACCACTATGTGCCGGCTTCGGCGAGCAGTATGAATTATGGTAAACGCATTTTGGCAGCAAAGGATGGCGAAGTCCTGGAAAAGGATTTGGTTCATTTTTCGGAATCGGTTAATTAACTGGTAAATATCTTATTTAAATTACGATATGGGTAAAGTACTTTTATCATATAAGTTGTATGTACGTATTCCCAACTTATTTGGGAAAAAATATCCTTTATTTTACGTTGGTTAGTATGGTCACCGTAAGCATGATGCATAGTGTTATTTGGGTCAATGTCTCTATTCAATAATTCATGGTCTAATTTTGCGTTTAAAATGATTATCCCGTCGAAGGGAAGGCTTTTTGACTAGTAAATACATACATAATAATCAGCTGATAAATTTGGTTCTGTAGCTGAATAGTTTTAGATCTCGACACTTAACAAATTCCTGCCTTTCGTGAATCGGCGCAAAAAACAAATTTCAGTACATCATGCGGAATTAGCTCGGATGACGGAAGGAGGGCAACCGTTGGGATTAATAATAATAATAGAGGTATTCACAAGGATGTCGTATTGTTATTTGTCGTAAAATTTTTCGGCAGGGTGCGAAAGATTCATAATAGTCATATAAAATTTCTCATTGTCAAAAACATTTTCTAGTGATTTCGATTCCTTTAAACTTTAGGACATAAGATAATACGACACCTTGTGAATTACTTAAATATAATTTGAAAAGTCATTCATGTATCCAATATTTACACATATTTCACATGTATGCTTGAAATCCTCTTAGTGGTATCTGTACCTCGCCAAAATTGTATTCATTTCACATACAATTTGCTTTACATATGTATTTGCGTGAAAAATTCGTGTCTCAATTATAAAAGCACCTTTTTGAATTGAGCTTTTATTTTTTAGGAGGGTCCACATTCCACGCTTCCCGAAGATGAGTTCTTTGATGCCGTTGAAACTGGCCTGGAAAAAATCGAGGAAGACATGCAACTTCGCGCTAAGCTAAAGTTGCAGTCGCAGCAATCTTTGACGGTGGCGCAAGCACCGTATCAAGTCCAGCTTGAAGGAAACACTCCCAGCCTAGAAGAGTTCGGCACTGGCGGATTAGCCAGAAGTCACATACTGTGGCCGGAGGTAATTTCACAAAGAATGTAAAGCATCAAGTTAAGTTTTTCAAAATTATATTTTCAAAATTGGCGGCTTCATTTTAGATCGATCGTGTTTGCAGTGAACAGTTGCGATATGCTCGCGAAGGAGTTGGTGAGGGTGGTAACGGTTGGCAAATATTTGCTGATGAAGGTGAAATAAAAATGTACAAGCGAGAAGAAGAAGTAAATGGATTAGTTATGGATCCCTTGAAAGCATATCACAGCGTTAATGGGGTTACAGCACGTGAAATGTGCCATTACTTCTTCATGCCCGAGTTTCGCAATGAGTGGGAGAGTAAGTGCGGAGTAGTTATTGGAACTATTTACATTTCTGGGATATATAATACAATTATTTCGTAAACTTGTAGCCACTCTTGAAGACTGCACCATTCTAGAAAAAATTTCGCCCGACACATTCGTCTTCTTACAAACACATAAACGTATATGGCCTGCCAGTCAACGGGATGCACTTTTTTGGTCACATATGCGTAAAATTACAGATGGACTTGATGAGGACGCTGTAGATATGTGGGTCGTTTGTAATAACTCAACGGATTACTCTAAACAGGAAGTTAGTTTTGACCTTTTTACCCAGTAACAAAATAAATCATTTTCACTAGTGTTGCTTCTCGATATATAGAGATATTAATCAAATACAATCATAGCTAACTACTATATTTAAAATGTTCTTACCTCCAGAAGAATTTTATATTCATGCTTTTGCTTATTCAATATTGGCGTCCGTCGATGACATTTTGTAGATGTCTTATTCGGAAGTTTTTCCATTAAAACCCCACTTAAAGGTTCTTATGCCAGCCATCGGACTAGGGGAAAAAGCAAATAACTGCTATGAAAGGCGATTAGATGGTCACTTATAAATTAAGCAACGTAGAACTATTAGCAAAAAAATTATAAGCCACCTTCAGAACACTGTCTTTAGGTTATCAAATTTTTGTACAGGTTTCGTGTTTCTTGTGAAAAAGACTACTAGAAACTTCTAAGCTGAGCATATTTGAATGTGGTAACACTGTATAACGCTAATATAACAGCGTATGGTGAAATTTCCTTATGGCCTGGTTTGCCCGTTATCGATTACTTCTGCCGATAATGTATAAAACGCCTTTTATGGAGTGAAAAACACATGATGCAAATATAAGATATCTTTGTAGATATGTAGGTACATACGATGTATACAATTAAAAAAGTATCTTAAAAATTCCGATGCACCAATTTCAAATAACTGTATTTTATTTCTTTTCATCCGGCGATCAACATATCAATTCATAAGATTTAAATTTTTGATACTCGTATTTGCTGAGCTCGGAAGTCATAAAAGTGAAAAAGATATATTTGAGACTGAATGATATCTTAAAGTTTATTTCTTAAAAAAAATGGATAGGTACATTTTGAATAATTCGGTAATTCTTTTTGTAAATTCTAGTCAAAAAATGGCAAATGCGTTCGCATTTTTCTGACCGTAATTTTAGCCTGCCAGACACGTTTACCCCCTGGAAAAACAAAAAATGATGATCTTAGTCGCGACGAATTAGCTTGTAAAATCACATATTGCTCTGTTGGTAAGTGCCGAAAATGTGTTTAATTACTAATTCGAAACACATATTTTCGATTTTTTAATTGTTCCTTCATTGCAGTCAATCCTGGTGGTTGGGCGCCTGCTTCCGCTTTGCGAGCCGTTTACAAGCGCGAGTATCCTAAGTTCCTGAAACGTTTTACCGGATATGTGATAGATCAATGCAAGAACAAACCAATAATGTTCTGATATTAGCAGTCATTTCCTTAAAAAATGTTTTCAAACTGTAATGGATTTGAGTGAAAAATTTTTGTTAACATATCTTTTCAGTTTCCATTTTTTTGTTGATAATAAGAAGAATTAACATTTAAAACATAAATACCGTTCGGTTGATCCTCGAAAGAAAATAAGCGTATAATAATATTTTACTCAGTACGAGGGTTTGAGGCTTCTTTATATGTTAAATAAAAATTTTTAAACACGCATGGAAAGTGTAAATATAAACATAATATACGTTGCTCACATAACATTTTTTATACGTTAGCGCACATTGAGTGGTTTAATGCAATGGTGCTATTTGGCACTGGTCTTATGAATACGTGTGAGAAAAAAGAAATGCTCCCAAGAATTGCGTCTTTATGTTTCAAATGAAATCATAATGTTTGTATGTACATTAGACCGGGGCGATTTGTATGGTATGATTTCAATACCGCGCGGTGTAAATTATGATTCCTGTTATTACGCCGCACAGTGTAACGTCCCCATATAAGCTGCGGACAAAAATAGTAAACGTTGTCCAATTTCGACAAAATTTTGTATATGCTCTACTTTCACAGAAAACAGAAAATTTGAAATATGGTCAGGATAAGCCTACTGCCACGCCTCCCACTCTTGTGGGCGGAAATATTAAAAGTTATCAGATTCTGATTAA